GTATGAAGCGATGTCATATAAAATAAACTAGGGAATTCTTGAAAATTTCGTATATGAAGATATTCGAGTCGAGTAAAAGTTTGTTCAAATCTTGGAAAACGAGTGAAAAAACTAGCTACCTGACCAGGTGTTTCTTCATCATCGGATAGGGTCAATGCCATCATTTGATCAGGCCGAATAACGTTACATATTCGATCAAATTCATTTTTAGATATCGATGTGAAATTTATTTTATATTGTTGATAAGTTCGTATACATTGTCTTAAATATCGACTGAAGCTATAAAGCGAATGAAGAATTTCGATAGCAGATAAGTATGTGAATATATCGAAGATAATTTCGACTGGTAATTGATCGAGAAAAAGGTGTGGAATAGGCATAACTGATCGACTATACTGAAAATGACAGCACGATAAAACGTCTTACTTCATCGACATTACCTAAAAAGGAATTGTATGCAAATGGTGCACATGGCAGACGATAGAAGGCAACTTCATAGAATAAAGAACGAGAAAAACAACATCGTTTTTTCTACCGATACACAGAACGGAAGAAAAAAAAGGATCTAAATTCCTCTTTTCATGTGCGGTCTCAGGACATTATATATCATACGACGACACATCATTGCGAAGAAAACCAAGAAAAATGAGACAGTTCGATTATTTGGATTGCTTATTTTTGCACATTGTTAAGAGTTGTATTGTTTATTCTTCAAGAAATTAAACAACACAAAACAAATCAGCTAGAATCCAGTGAAAAGAAAAAGATATATCTACGTATATCTATGCATATAGAAGAACAACGGAAAACAGAAAGAAGAAAGGAGGAGAACGAAGATGTATGACTGTGTAAGATACACAGATCATAACACACATAGAAGTCTCTTTTCAAAAAAAAACTAGAATCTTTCATTAACTTGTCATGAATGTTACTGTGTGTAAAATCGGTCCAGTTGAAAGAAACCCAACTGACATCATCATAAGACATTGGATAGGATATGAACCTTCTGTCAACCCGCAGAGCATTCCGAAAGTGAGGTTTTCCACTCCCGATAGGTGTCTGTGTTTGCATTTGCTTTCATAGATTTTATAGATTGCAACCGTTCTCCAAATCTAGATCTATAAATTATGGTTTAACAGACACAAGCTTCTTGTCATTATTTTCAAACTCTTCTCGTCGACAAATGATAAATGCAATAGTAGATGAAACGTCTCTCTCTCTCATTTTCTGATTATCATGATGAAAATTGATTATCATCAGATTTTTTTTTTGTCGTTTTCGTTTTACATGGGTAATTGATCTTGTTTGTACCACCTGCCAGTAAGAAACAATTTTTAAGTGCATAATCAAAAGTAAGATACGCATTTAAATCAATACTATCTATTCTAGTAATCTGTAATGGCATTCAGAATTCTGGTGATCTTGACGTTTATCGTGTCTGCTGCAAACGTCGTGTTAGGTCAACGAACCGAGAGTGATTGCAAGGCCAGAACGGCATCTACTTCGCAGTGTGTACAAACGATATATTCAACCTGCGCCGATACAACATTTACTGTAGATCGTCAAGCTTTTCCTAATAATTGTTCGCGTTCTATGGTTTATTGGAATTCACCGGTTGGGTGTGAGTGTGTGTGGGGTGTGGGTGTGGGTGCGCATGTGGGTGTTGGTGTGGGGTGTGGGTCTAAAAGAAACGAAGAACCAGAATCCCCCACACCCACACCGACACCCACCCACACCCACACCCACCCACACCCACACTATTTTCAGTGAAATTTGCAAAAAAACTTATTCTCTGTATTCTAGTCAAAAGTGATATGTCTTCGTGTTCTTTGTAAAGTTGGTCCGTACGAATAAAACTTCTAGATGATGTCTATCATCCGGAAAAAGAACAATTGATTTTTTTTGACAAATAAAGAAGTTATAAGAATGTACTTTCATGTGCGACTTTTTGAATACCCTGTATATATCCAATAGAGACTAAATAAAAATATAGATTGAATAAATACTAAATATTCAATAGTGTAAGATGCAAGAATGAAATAAAAATATTCTTAAAAAAGAAGATCTAAAATCTGAAAAGAAAACAAAAAGTTTCAACTATGAAGTTCATAGTATGAACTTCATAGAACTAGAAGAAAATAGTGTTCAGTTCGATCTACGATCGGAATATATAACTAAGAGGAAAACGAGAAACCCATATATAATGACGTAGCAAATAATTAAAATGCTGCTTTTAATTTGCAAAGTATCATTGATGTACTCTGTTTTTTCTAGCCTAGTAGAAAATACAGTACTTATTCAAAATCGTAAGTATATCGGGTACTTTGCTTTTGCTTGAGGTACTTCATATTAAAAACACTGCCTAAAACATAAATCTTCACTTTCAAGAGTCTCTAATGGTTATGGTTGATTTGATTCAAAAATTCGACAAAGTGTATGCCCACAAATTTCCAAGCTGCAAAGAAGGCATCAATAAATTCTCATAATTGATTGAGGGAAAAACATTTGACAAAAGAAAGAAAAATTTCAAATAAACTGGCATCGTAAAACTATCAAAATAGGCCATTTTCAGAATACTTTCATTTTAATCATATTACAGAATAAATAAAAAGCATAACACATTAAAAATTAAGCTGAAATTGTGAAATCAAATTGCACAATCAAAAACAAAAACAAAGAAATTTTGCTTTTCTTTTTCCTCTTCTGTTCGGTAATGTGATGCGAATGACAATTTATTCATGGGAAAAAACTGCATAATGACAAGACAAAGAGATGTAAAACGAAAACGAAAAAAGCATTGGAATATATCGTGCTTAAATTTCTATTGTGTTTTTTCTTTCTCTGTATAATTGAAAATTGATCTATATTCACTTTATGTCATGAAGAAATTAATATGATTGCATCAACTTCTTGCAATATGTGATTGGAATGTTTATGATTGTTCTTATATCTTAGGAAAAAATCTTCAACAGTTCTCGGAAGGAAAATTATTTATGTTTATCAATTCTGACGCAATATCTTTGTCATGCTAATAGTGGGAAAAATTCAAACTATTCCAAATGAAAGATTATATATATATAGCAACCATACAAATCTTTTAAATCCACATTAATCCTTTATTTTTAGACACAACAATCTCATCGAACCTTCAGTAAGAAAATGTAACTTTAAGACTTCTTTAGTGTTTAAAATAAATTGATAAAATCGTGTAACTACAAGATTTAGAAATGAAATGAGGCATATATCATCGAGATACTTACGATTCTTTCTCAGCACACATTAGATTCGCACATGTAATTAGAATGCTTAGCCAACATATGACAAGTTGACTTTTTTTTTGTGTGAGGAAACTACAATTTTCAAAGAGTGTTTTTGCATCGAGAGTCAAGGCAATTTTGAATCTAAGTTTATTTTTGAAAAATTTATATAGATATAAAAATGCATTTCTTAATCTTTTCATTTTTGCTTTACTGAGAAATAGTTCGACTATCTATAGCATAAAAAGGCACTATTTCTATTTCATTCGTGTACTATACACAGAATTCTGTTTCATTCATTAAATATTAAACATCAAAAGAATAGTAAGGTATGAACCAATATCATTTTAATTTGTTTTTATTTCTTCAAAACAGATATGTCGTTTCGAAACAATTTGAATTCAAAAATTCAAGCATTCATTGCTCTTAGAAAACGTTGTTGGAAACAATGTAAAAAATTGTTGAAAAAATCTACACATCCATCTGAACAGAACATATCTTCTTCACCAGCTTGTAGAACTAAAACCCTGGTTTGTCGCACTGTTAGCTTGGTGAATGATAATGTAAGTCTACAAAACGATGATGCTATCGAAAACTCATATACAACGTGGAGACCCAATCTCGAACAAGCATGGTCATCACTTGATGGAGCCGAGTACAAGCTGACTGAGTTGGAAGAAGAAAGAGTACGACGTGAAAAACGGCTAGCACGAACTCGAAATTCGCTTAGAGGTTCTTTGACAGAGTCAGAACGAAAGAATTTGCGAAAACAAGCAAGACGTCAGCAATCACTAGTTGAACAATCGCTGAGAAATATTACAATGGAACAAGTAGCATGGCAACGAGAAATGAATTATTTCTCCGACGTTATGGCTATTGCATCTCAACAAATCTAAGAGCTTGAATATGAACTTTGCTAGTCTATAGAAGTATTCTTGATAAATTGAATAAAAAGTTCTAAAATCGAATTCATAATCTCAAAATAGAGTTAAATCAGAACAGACTAATTATGTTTGAAGGCTGAACAATTGTTTGAATATTGGTTTTCAGGTAGATGTGAAATAGATGCCCGTATTGTGAGTTTTAGTGATGCAAAGAGTACATCTCATACTCGTACCTTTCAGTATGGAAGTGTTTTTCATAATCAAAAATGGATTTAGTGGATGTGAGTGTAAGGAGTCTTCCTTTGTCTCTAGAGATACACCCACACCCGTATCCTTTCTGAGTGTGGTTGAGAATGTGGATGTGTAGAAGAAGAAATGCACTCATACTTGTACCCCGCATCCATACCTACACTCAAACTCTGCTTTACTATTTTCTAGTTATTCTTTGTCGACAGTAACTTTATAACATATACGAAGCAATTATTGTATAGAAGTATACAGCATTTCTATAGTCATTAGAACTCAAGATTGAGTAAATTATAAATTATGGAAAGGTTTCAGACTAAGACTGCTACCTTATCAATCTTTCTGTAGTGCACTGTAGATGATTTTTATTAAAATAAATAGAAATTCTTTCTTTTCTTTTCTTTTCTTCATAGTCGTACGAGACTACCAGGATGGTCTAGTAGAGAAAATAAAATAATCTGACAATTTACTATGCTGTCATTATTTTATCATGCCTTTTATTGTATTTTAAGAGTTCGAAATAAATAAAAGAATAAAGATAAGAATGACTATAAAATACTAAAGAATCTCGGTAACTTGATAGAACAATAACAGCAGAAGTTTGATGCAATAAATGGAAGAAATACAAGACAAATTAATCGTTATTTGGTATTTTAATGAAACAAATGAAAAATCTGAATTTCAAGATATTAATGATGGACAATTTGTCGATATGAAATTTTTCAGTAATGTTGATGAATGTATAGACTTTGTGACGTCTCATTCTAATAAACATAAAAAATTTTTAGTTGTTATGAGTGACTATTCTGTATCTGAAGTCGTTGTTACAGTTTTGAACGAATTTCCTCAATTAATGAGTGTTTTCTTACTGTGGAATGAAAGAGAAGAAGAAAACTATAATTCTATGCAACATCGTTGGATAAAAGAATGCACAAAAGTAAGTACTTAGTCTCTGTTTGAAATATCATCTGATAAGATGATATTCAACGTAAATATTATAATAAACAAAAGGTGAACTGATAGTATTGTAAACGACTATTATATTTACAAGTATTGTCTATAAGAAGATGTGGTTGCTTAAGTAGAGAAAAATTTTCAAAAGTGCGTTTAAACACATTCGAAAATCAGGATCTTGGTTCTAAACACGTTTCTGAAAAGTTTGGTTTGCCTGAATGGTCTTGTCTTGTTCCGAAAAAAAAATGAAATCTTCTTCCTCTACCCAGGCAGACAACAAAACGGCAAAAACGGCGTTTAAACGTCTCAACATCTCAACTGTTTAAACAGTGCCATTAGTCGCCAAAACCGCGTTAAAACGGTTTATGAAAAATTAACTTTTAACACGTTTTACATGTTTAAACGCTTGGAGTCATTGAATTTGTAACTGTTTTAACGCGTTTTTGGCGACTAATGACACTGTTTAAACACTTGAAATAATTTCCCTTGTCACGCCTCTTAATGATCAACAAACGTTTCATCTAAACAATGAAGTACCAATAATTTATAACTAAATTTTCTTCTCATTGATAAACTGATCGATTATATTCAAATTATCATTAGATTAATGTTAAATTGACTTATGTTTATAGTTTATACTTTGAAAACAGTGCAGAGAATTTCTCTCTCGTCAGTTCGTTTCTTTTTATGTTAAGAGTAAGTTTATATTTTACTATTTACTTATTGGTATTTTTTTCTTTTTGTTTTTTTCAATAGTGAAAAGAAAGATAAAACATGTAGGTTTAATCAAACAGCATTAACACGTTGTCATACCATTCCACTATTAGAAAAAAAACAAAAAGAAAAAAATACCAACAAGTAAATAGTAAAATGTAAACTTACTCTTAACATAAAACGAAACGAACTGACGAGATAAATTCTCTGCACTGTTTTCAAAGTATAAACTATAAACATATGTCAATTTAACATTAATCTAACGATAATCTGAATATAATCGATCAGTTTATCAACGAGAAGAAAACTGAATTATTTCCATTCATGTTTCAAATAAGTGACGGATAAGATAGACTGATGAATAAATTTAAAATAGTACGACTAACACAGGAATTGATGAAAAGGCAAAGCACGGACTATCTAACCAGCTTCTAATATTAGGAAAACTACAATCGGAACTACTATGGTAGACAGATGTTCTTTTCAAGTAGCATTAATAAATTTAACTTCATTTCGATCAAATTCTAAAATATCAAAGTACGGAGATATGATATAACTAGAAATGTCATCAACGCACTACGAAATCTCATAATTATAGTATGTATTAAGTCGGTCGCGAAATTGATTAAGCCACAACTATGCATCAGAATGCTATCTGCTTTTTCCTGTAGTGACGATATTTCTTTTAAAGCTCATTCATATTTCGATGACTTAAGATTCCCTTTTCATCGAGTAGAAAACTAAACTGTTTCAAACGTCTCATATGTCACACGTATTCGTGATGAACATTCTAAATGAAACATTTCAAGTGAGGAATATTTAATGGACCCTGCTATGTTTATCGTATGCGAGCGACTCTGCTAGTTGGATTGTCCTAAGTATCGTACATGTTATGTCTAAGTCAACACTAACCTAGTGAATATTGAAGTATTTTTCACAGAAACTCACTATTAATAGCAATGCAGTAAGTGCCCTATTCTTTCTCTCGTCCTGAGTGATTTCCGCAGAAAAGAACTTATCTAATTCGAATATATCCAGTCTTACACAAAAGAAGTATGTGCCATTACATATAGTGAATTTAACATTAATTTTAAGTATACGTTAGAAATAAAATGGCCTACTCAGTTAGGCAACTACTCTGTGAACGAAACAGAACACAAATGAATTCCAAATGAAAAGAACAGACGAATAATCGGACGAGAGAGTGGTAAAAGAATGACCTCTTTTTTCCTTTTTCTGTGAACTGGACGGACGGAAAGAAAAGACAGGATGGAAAAAATTCCTTGCAAATGCGGACTGATGATAACTCTGTTTCTATGTGACGATGATAACTAGATGAAATGTACAATAGTCAAGTTTTGAAACTTTTATTGAAACAGCTAAACTCTATGTCATTTTTTAATTATAACCTATATGAGAATAGGATAACTTGCTTATCTGGGTTAAACATGATTGTTGCTCATACGTACTTGCACTTTTAAAAGAGAAATAGAGAAGATTATGATTATCATATAATCTAAGAAGGAAGGAATCGTTTATGTTGTTAATATGATATATTAACATGTAGTAACATTAATGATGATTTCCCCCTTCCATTTAGTTTTTGAACGTTAACAATATTTGTCTGCACTTATTATAATTCACAAAATACAACTGAGCTAGAATCAATCTTCTTAAATGTGCAGTAAAATAAACCAATATTGGTTAAGATGATGTTATAATATTCATTGAACAAATCACTATAACGTTAATTGTCTACACGCTGATTGTTAAAGATATTCAGCATGAGATGTGCTGCACGACTATTCCTGTTTAGCAAATCAGTTTATGACAGTTACTCTGATGCAAATCAAAGATAAGCGTTCTTACATTCTCATCAGATATTGACACCGAACAATATTTGTCTTAACGGTTTTTAATTGACAGTGGAATATTGCTGAGTAGATACACTGACAATACATCAATATAGAATATGTAAAGTCACTACACGGAGTATTTTCAGTAAGATCGTTATACTGCTATCGATTTTGACTTCGACTTAATGACAATAAAAAAATTTTCTTGGTTTAAAATTTCTGTTCACTAATAATAAATATCGGACCTGATCCTTTGCTGTTTATTAGGAAAAGATACATGTTCTAACCATCAGTTGCCTGTTACTAATAAACAACGAATTGTAAAACTTACTACTTATTAGAAAGAAACTAGACTGATTACTCACTATGTTGTGTTACGTGATTTAGATACATTCAACCAGGCATAACTGTCAGAGAATAGTTAAATTAAAAAGTTACTACTCATTAGTAACAGATTAGTAGGGCAGACTATCACCTACTAGCAACTAGTTAGTGACGATGCACATGACTTATTGACAGCATAATAATAAAATTTTTGTAGTTTTGATTGTTTTTTTGGTAATCGAAGCAAAACGGAAAAATACTGTTAAAACGTTTTTTTTTCGAAAAAAACACGAAATTGGGGCGTTTTTAATGGTTTTGTCAAATTTAGTTGAAAATAAACTGTAAAAACGATTTAAAAGTGAAAAATTCAGTAGTAAACGCGTTTAAACGAGTTAAAACGGTGTAAACGCTTTTTTAACGCGTTTAAACGCCTTTCTGGCCGTTTATTGTCTGCCTGGGTATGAACGTTTTAGTCGAATGGTTTAGTCCTCAAAAAATCTTCTATTGATCATCCCTTCTTCTAGAAAAATAAAGTGAAACTTTCTGTGTTAGAGATTAGATTCAACAATTTATCTTGATTTTGACTTCAAAAAAAGATCAGGTGAGTTATTTACTTTCCCCATCAATTTCCATTCGCTTTGACATCTTTTATTATTTCTCTAATGAACCAATAGTAATATTTCATTCGCTATATATGTGTAAGAATATCTTTTTTTTAGCAGAAAACAAGAGGGCCATAATTGATGAAGTATCATAAAGTCAAAATAAATATTCAAAACATAATCTGCATCGAAGTTTATCTCTACTCTAAAGGATTCATCATAAAACAATATCGTATTTTATCAAATAAATTTCATTTTTCGTGATATCTACTGTTGTTTACGATAGAGAACTGATTCCATAATGTTTTTCACCTTTTATTGAATTATAAGAAAAACATCCGTAAAGAATGTGAGTGTTCTTTTAATTGTGTGTGCAATGGTGAGATAAATTTCTATTCCAGCTCCAACCCACACATTCACTCCTTACTCTAGACTCACGGCCATGTCCTCTTATAATAGTGAACAAGTTAATAAGTTTTTGCTGTAAGGATTATATTAGGAACTCATCTTAAGAAGTCCTGACTCTTTTCTAGAGGAAAGTTAACGAAATGCTTTTTTGTGATAGTCACTCAACTACGATGAATTTTTTATGTGAAGAATACTTCGATCGTTTCTCTAGCGGTAGTGATTAATAAAAGTTACGAGTAAGAGACGACATACTTTTTTCCTAACTACTACTCCAACTATCGGCACAACAACGAGCTTCAAGGGATTAATACTGATAGAGAAGAGAAATATTTTCAGTATTAAGTCTAAATATTACTGAATACATTTTGATAAATTTAGTAGGAGAGGTAGTAGCCTTCTTCCAAAAAGAATTCTGTTGATTTTTCGTAATAGGAAGACGTTTTCGAAGGAATCGATCTCTAATTCTAATTCATTTCGAAAGATAAATTTTGACCATAATTGGTTTCTCATGATTAAAGCCTAATATTTGAGCACGAATTATTAGCAATAACATGAAGAAAACTATCATGTCGAAATTAATTCTGAGAAGTTAATTCTACCATTACTTTGATTCTATCAAGAAAAATTTCACCATCATGGAAAAATTTCAGCTAGAAATATCGCATTAGCATATACTTGATATGGGGCTACTATAACAGCCGTAATCTCATAGAATATTCTGCTTATTTAAAATAAAAAATTGAGAATCTCTTTATTTTTAGGTAAGAGGTATTTTTCATACTGACAAACAAGTATACAATGAAGTACAACGAGAATTAAATATATTCAAACAAAGATATTTTCGACAAAACAACAGAATATTTTTTAATGTTTACAATGAACAGAATCAATTATCCATAAAAGACCAATCTAATGCTACTGTTGATGCTGCTGCGACGTCTACCTCTGTTCTTACAATCTTTAATCGTCATGAACAATCATCTACATCAGATCTTCGCAGTGAAAACGGAAATTTTCTATGGTTTCAATTGTTTATTGAAATACTCTTAAGAATGACATTTAACCGACAAGAAACAAAAACACAGTTAATAGAGTATTTTAAAAATGCTTATCAAACAGATCCACCAAAAATATTGAAAATAGAGAAACTAGAAAAAGAATATTCGTCTGAAGATGCAATTCGATGGTATACGAAAGATATGTGTCTTTATCGACAATTGAATGAATCATTACGACTGAAAAAAGTAAAATTATTAATTGAATTTAGTTGGTTTATTTCCGATCTCTACAAACAGTTAAATCAGGAAAGTGTTTCTCAGAAGGTGAATGCCACTGACGAACCTATTGCAACTGTATATCGTGGTCAATTAATTTCTAGAAAAGAATTTGAAAGAATACAAAATTCAGTTGGATCATTTCTATCTGCGAATTCATTTTTTTCAACAACAGAAGATCGTAATGTCGCAAGTTTTTTTGCAGGAAACGTTTATAGTGCGGAAGGTGACCTTATTTCTCTACTGTTTGAAATTAAAACTGATCGAAGAGTGAAAAATTTAAAACCTTATGCTAATATTAGTCATTACACGTTATTTCCAGCAGAAAAAGAAATCCTATTCATGTTAGGTACTGTTTTTAGAATTGTTAGCCTTAAATTTAATAATGAACATAATAATTGGGTTTTGTCATTAGAAATATGCAGCGAAGATGATAGAGATTATCAACAGATGTTTGAACATGAAAAAAACGAATTAGTTGGTGAAAATCCGACTTATTATAATTTAGCTGAATTAATGTATCGTGTTGGTGATTACGATAGAAGTGAAAAATATTTTAATGAATATTTAAAAATGCCTATTAATGTAATCGATACTATCCAAGGTTATACTGGACTCAGTAAAGTATACGGACAAAAACGCAATGAAGAACTTCGAAAGCAATTTATCAACAAATCAAATGAAATTATAAAAAGTCAATACGCAGCTATTAAAGATCCCAATGATCTTAATGAATTAGATAAATTACTCAATAACACTTTACTAAACGAAGAGGAAAGTTCTGATATTCATATGATGAAATCTCTGGTAAATGTTCAAAATAAACGTGATGATTTAGCTATTTTAAATTATCAAAAGGTATTATCTATTCAAAAGAGACAATTACCAGAAGATCATCCAGATATTGCTCGCACACTCTTCGTCTTAAGTCACTCTTATGTGTCATTGAAACAATTCGAACAAGCAGAGAAATTCATGCAAGAAGCATTACAAATACGTCGCAAATCATTATCTGGTAATCATCGTGATCTTGCAATGACATATAGTAGTTTAGGTTCTCTTTATAAGATAATCATGAAAAATGAGTTAGCGTTGGAATATTTTCTAAAAGCACGTGAAATACATCTTGCATCT